TGTGCATGTATGTATGTATGTATGTATGTATGTGATCTATGTATGTATGTATGTGTGTGTGCATGTATGTATGTATGAATGTGTCTATGCATGTCTGTAGTTGTGTGTGTGTATGAATGTGTCTTTGTATCTCTGTCGTTCTGTGTATGAATGTATGTATGTATGTATGTATGTATGTATGTAAGCATGTATGTATGTGTGTATATTGTTGTATATACTTGCATGCAGGTATGTATGTATGTATGAATGTATGTATCTATCTGTCTATGTATGTATCTATGTATGTATGTATGTGATCTATGTAGGTATGTATGTATGTGTGTATGTATGTATGTATGTATGTATGTATGTATGTATGTATCTATGCATGCATGAATGTATCTGTGTATGCAAATGTGTATGTGTGCATGCATGCCTTAATATGTATGTATGTATGTAGGTGTGTGTGTGTGTTTATGTGTGTATGTATGTATGTATGTATGTATGTGCATGTATGTATGTATGCGTGTATGTATGTATGCATGTATGGAATATTGTGTGTGTGTGTCTGTGTGTCTGTGTGTCTGTCTGTCTGTCTGTCTGTCTGTCTGTCTGTCTGTCTGTCTGTCTGTCTGTCTGTCTGTCTGTCTGTCTGTCTGTCTGTCTGTCTGTCTGTCTGTCTGTCTGTCTGTCTTCCTGTCTGTCTGTCTGTCTGTCTGTCTGTCTGTCTGTCTGTCTGTCTGTCTGTCTGTCTGTCTGTCTGTCTGTCTGTCTGTCTGTCTGTCTGTCTGTCTGTCTGTCTGTCTGTCTGTCTGTCTGTCTGTCTGTCTGTCTGTCTGTCTGTCTGGCTGGCTGGCTGGCTGGCTGTCTGTCTGTCTGTCTGTCTGTCTGTCTGTCTGTCTGTCTGTCTGTCTGTATGTATCTGTGTGTGTGTATGTATGTGTATGTATGTATGTATGTATGTCAGTATGTTATGTATGTATGTATGTATGTATGTATGTATGTATGTATGTATGTATGTATGTATGTGCATGTATGTAAGCGTGTGTGCATCTATGTATGTACATACGTGCGTACGTACGTATGTATGCATCTATGTGCGTGGTATGTATGTATGTATGTATGTATGTATGTATGTATGTATGCACACATGTATGTACGTATGTATGTATGTATGTATGTATGTATGCATGCATGCATGCATGCATGCATGCATGCATGCAATGTATCTGTGTGTGTGTGCTTATGTATGTGTACGTATGTATGTCTGTATGCATGTATGTATGTATGCACGCATGTACGTATGTATGTATGCATGTATGTGCGTGGTATGTATGTATGCACGCATGTATGTATGTATGTGCGTATGTGTATGTATGAATGTATGTATGTGCATGTACGTATGTATGTTTGTGTCTGTGTGTGTATGTGTCCATGTATGTATGTACGTACGTACGTACGTATGTATGTATGTATGTGTGTATCTATGTATGTGTGTACGTATGTAGGTAGGTAGGTAGGTAGGTAGGTAGGTGGGTAGGTAGGGAGGTATGTATGTACATTGTGCTTACTTATCTATGTATGTATGTGCGTATGTATGTATCTATGTATGTATCTATGTATGTGTGTATGTATGTCGGTAGGTAGGTAAGTAGGTGGGTAGGTAGGCAGGTATGTATGTATGTATGTATGTTGTGTTTATGTATGTATGTATGTATGTATGTATGTACGTATGTATGTATCTTTGTATGTATCTATGTATGTCTCTCTATGTCTCTGCATGTCTCTGTATGTCTCTGCATGTCTCTGTATGTCACTGTATGTCTCTGTATGTCTGTATATGTCTCTGTATGTTTCTGTATGTCTCTGTATGTCACTCTATTTCTCTGTATGTCTGTATATGTCTCTGTATGTTTCTGTATGTCTCTGTATGTCTCTGTATTTCTCTGTATGTCTCTTTATGTCTCTGTATGTCTGTGTATGTATGCATGCATGCATGCATGCATGCATGCATGTGTACATGTACATATCGTACATCTCCCCGAAGAAAGATTTAGTTGCTCATTACTTTTTATGTGGGTTGCTGT